AGTAGCAGTAGTAGTAGCAGCCGCAGCAGTAGCAGTGATAACAGTAGTAAGTGCTGGTGGTATGAACTTGGCCTGAGTTGATAAGAATAGTACAAATAATGAAGACAAATGCTAGCAATTGTTGTGCTACTAGTGACAGTAGGCATAGTCGTAGTGAGAATCGCAATAATCGTAATGATGTAACCATAGTACTACTACTAATAACAGTGATAGCAGTATGGTAGCAATAGTGAGAACAACATCACCAGAAATACTAGTAATGCTAGTAATACTAACAATAACAACAACATCGATGACAACTACGACCACAATGACAAGTCTATTTGTTCCACTAATAATTGCACCCATTCTAATAACAATAGCAACAGTACAGTGTGCCGGGAAATTAGAAAAATATTTCAACAAGATTGCCAAACGATCTTGCAATCTTGGTCTCGCCGAATATTTAGACCAAGGTTGCAAGGGGTGGGGAGCAAGATTGCCAACCAATCTTGCAATCTTGGTCTCCCAAAGGTAAACATGTCGGCGAGCAAGTGGGGCACGTGGGTGGCGGGAGCAAGATTGCCAGCAATCTTGCAATGTTGGTCTCCGAAAAGTAAACTAGTCGGCGAGCAAGTGGGGCAAGATGACCAAGACTGCTTGGCAATCTTGCTCCCCCCTGACCAAGATTGCCAAGATTGCAAAGATGGTTCCATCAATTAATTGTTCTAAATTCCCGGCACTATGCAACAGTAATATTAGTAGTAATCATAAGAATAATTCGTAAACGTGGTAAGAATATTTTATACAATAACAATAATACTGAGAATAGGTCTGTCCCTCTCGGGAACTACTTAGTGTTCAGGACTTCGGAGGTTGGATTTCGGAGCTGAATTTGGAGCTTGGGTTTTTTAAGGTGAGTGGATAGGATCGAACATCGCAGCATTTTGTCACGGCATTGGATTCACAAGAATCCTTGCCTGAGCAGTGTCTTAAGTGCATTACATGTGCACGAAAGCAAACGCAGAGGCTGCCACTCGCCTACTGACGCTTTCGCGTGGCCTCTTCGGGAGGTCCAAACAAGCTGAGGTGCCTTCAGGCTCAGACCCCGTCCAAAACTCTAAACCGAAACGCCAAGGCTGTCGGCATTCAGCAATTTAACCGAGGTGTACGAAGTGCTGCAAATACCATCTAATTCGCCTCCCTCCTGCGATTTCTGCGTGAAGCACAGGATTGTCGTGATGTATCGAAGTACTACGCCGCGCACGCACATGACAAAACCCTAGTTTTTGTATGTTTTACTTAAGACCACAACAAAAGAGGCCCAGAACTCTCAACCGAAACCCAACAACAAACCGCGGCTATCTGGATTCTGTGTGTTTATCGAGGTGTACGAATGGCTGCAAATACCAGCGAATTCGCTCCCCGGTTGAAAATTCACCCTGAAGCCCAGGGCTTTCGTGATGTTTCAAGTATTACTCCGCGCTCGCACAAGACAACAAAAATAAGTTTTGGCATGTTTTCGTCGTCCTAATGATGCCAAA